TCTCTCTCTCTCTCTCTCTCTCTCTCTCTCTCTCTCTCTCTCTCTCTGTGTTTGTGTGTCTGTGTGTGTCTGTGTGTGTGTATGTGTGTGTGTATAAAGGGTAAAGTTAACATGGGCATGTCCTCCTCGAGTGTTTCTCCACATTATTTTGAGAGAGGGCTTCACTGAGTCTGGAGCTTGTTCTCTGGGCTGCACTGGCCGGCTAGGACTCCTCAGTGTCCCTGTATCTTCTCTGTGTACAGCCCTGGGCACCGGGATCTAAACCCAGATCCTTACAGTCCTCCTGTCTGAGCCGCAGTCACCTCACCCCATCTCAGCCCCGAGTCTCACTCAGTCCTATCCCAACGCTTTATTAACACCTTGTCTACATTTCCCAAATTAACACCTGCTAATTTTACTTCTTTGTATAAAATCAGAAATAATATCAGTAGCAATATTAATCTGTATTAATATATTAACCTTATATTAATATATTAATATATTCTGTTTAAAGACCAAATATAACATCATGTACATTTCAACATGAAAACCGTATCTACATTTACCAGCACATTGCTTCCCATAAATGATAGGCTGGCCCATGTATATGTGTGGTTAATAGAAAGTGGGGTCTATGATATAACAGTCATGTATACAATCACATGTACGAAGCTCTAGGGTTCAAGGTGTCTATCTACTGCCTTTTGCTGATATTAGTACATTTAACTTTATAACTGTATGAACAAGAGTCTAAGGAGTCAGTAATTAACAATGCATACAATTGCAAATGACATTTTGGCTCCCAGAACCCACAAGAAATAGCTTATAAATTGCTCACAACTCCAGTTCCAGGGGATCCTACAACCTCATCTGACTTCTGAGGTCCTGAGTTCAATTCCCAGCAAACATATGGTGGCTCATAACCATCTATAATGAGATCTGGTGCCCTCTTCTGGCCTGGGGGCACACATGCAGGCAGAATGTTGTACACATAATAAATAAATCTTGAAAAACAACTTCCTTAAAAAATTTTATCAAGAGACAGGCGGATTTCTTGAGTTTGAGGCCAGCCTGGTCTACAGGGTGAGTTCCAGGACAGCCAGGACTACACAGAGAAACCTTGTTTTGAAAAACAAAACAAAACAAAACAAAACAAAAAAAGAAAGAAAGAAAGTTCTTTATGCCGGGCGGTGGTGGCACATGCCTTTAATCCCAGCACTTGGGAGGCAGAGGCAGGCGGATTTCTGAGTTTGAGAGTTCGAGGCTAGCCTGGTCTACAGAGTGAGTTCCAGGACAGCCAGGCTACACATAGAAACCCTGTCTCGAAAAAAAACCAAAAAAAAAAAAAAAAAATCAAAGCTTATGAATTTAAAAAATTCCTTGGCTAGATTGGATGTATAAAAGACAATAGCGTTAGATTACGTTTGTATTGGGGTAGAACCCAAAGTTTCTTCGTGAGCCACAGCCCTAGTTGACATTTTTATATTTCATTTTATTTTTAATGTAAAAATGTATTTATGTATTTGTCCATTTATGTGCATATGTGAACTCCCAGATAACCTGTACCAGGTCAGTCTTCTAGGATTTCTGTCCCACTTTAGAGATTCTTCACTTCAACATGCAGCTTGCACATCCTATGTTTCCGCATCTCAGCCTATATATAACGCTTGCCCCAATTACAAGAAAGCTGGGGACTCAGTGAAGCCTAAACATGGCCTCAAAGTTCAAATGAAAAAGTAGAATGAGCTGGGCAGTGGTGGCGCACGCCTTTAATCCCAGCACTTGGGAGGCAGAGGCAGGTGGATTTCTGAGTTCGAGGCCAGCCTGGTCTACAGAGTGAGTTCCAGGACAGCCCAGGCTATAAGAGAAACTCTGTCTCAAAAAACCAAAAAAAAAAAAAAAGAAAAAGTAGAATGATTTTGAAGCTTTTTCCTTTTTCTAAGATAAATACACATTTAATTACTTGTTTAACTATATATTTGGAATGGTCCACGCTGTGGCCACACGTGAGCATTAGAGGACAGCTCATAGGAGCTAGTTCTCTCCAACAGTCACATGGGTTGTGAAGACTGAATCCAGCTTGCCAGACTTCATCAAGCAAGTCCCATCACCCACTGAGCCATCCATCCCATTATCCCTAAACTTTCATCAAATACCACACCTTATGAATTACAGGTGCTTTACTAAGAGCTAGGTATCACAAATAGACCCCAAACTGAAATACACACACCCACATGCACACATAGTGGGGCAACAAGGAGACAGACATACACACACCACCCCCACACAGACATACACAAGGAGTCACTGCAATGCCTTTGCTTACTGTTGTCTTCCCGGCACACTTACCATCTGTACACTTTTTTCTAACTCTTGGGGAATTGCAAATGTGGAGGAAGGAGCCTGAGTGAGAGGCCATGCACCAGCCTAAAAGGGAACAGTAAGACAGAATGTTCAACAGACATCCACCTCACAACACACAGCATTTCAATGGTGAGTTGCTGAGACACCTTTTTCTTTCTTGGAATTCTGACAGTGCTATGGCCCTCACCATCAGGTCCCTTTTATTCCAAGTCTGTAAAGTGTGGTCCACAACTCAAAGCTGACTGAATGTTATCAGGCATCATTTGCTAACCTTTAATACCACATTGTCAAAATGATTCATAAATCTAAAAAAAAAAAAGTACTATTATACCTGAAGGACATATATTTGGAAACTAATCCCCAAATCGATCACGGTGTCTTGGTTTCTGATGAAATTGTTGAACTTATTGTTGAGATCAGCGCTGACACTCATGTCTGTGTACATTCGATGCAGCTTGCTGGTAAACTCATAACCACAGGCTTGCTGGAAAACAAGGTGCAAAGCATATAACCTAAACTGAGAATGATCAGCCAGGGATGAATTAGGAGGCCAGAGGTTTTGTTTTTGTTTTTATTAATACTGAACTTGGAGATCATCCTAAATCACTGGAAACCTCTGGTCCTTTGAGTCACATACTGACACCTAACACTGTATGCAAATACACTCATGTCTGACCATTTACACAGCCTGCTGTATACAAACTATAAATTACTGCACTGCTGTGAAGTATGCAGTCATTACATATAATGAACATACTTGGCTGTTGGTACAATGATTTCTATATTATCTAGCACACTAAAGATTTACATTACCTTTAATTTATTGATCATGGCTTCTTCAGAATCCATAGACATAGACAACCCATGAATTAGACGTTTTGCTAGCATTCTTGCATAGAACTGCAAGAAAACAGAATGGTTACTTTCACTGTGACTTGAAATTCAGAATAGGGTGAAGCTGGTAGCTTCAATCCAAAGGCTGCTCCCCTCACCTTCTGAAAGACGTCCTTGTCATCGATGTACTTGAAAACTGTGATGAAGCTGGTGAGCTTGTCCTCCACTTCATTCTCAGTCATCCCCTTCGCTGACTTCTTTAGCAAGTTGTCACAGTACTTAGCAAGCTCAAAGAGAAAGTGGTAATATATCTTACAAAGGATCCTTTGGACAGACACTTCAAAGGCAGGCGGCAACTCAAAGCCTCACAGGTATGTCACTTAGAATAGATATAAGGGCATAAATAACATGAAAACAAGCCAGTAAACAGTTACCGGCAACGAGACAAAAGCAAAGCAAAAGTGGCTCAACAGATACTGAAAGCTGTTACGTCCTAAAGTCACACTGTAAAACTATGAATGGAAAACAGGTATGATAGCTAAGTTTTAAAAACATTCAACACTAGAACTGAGAAAAAAACTAATCAGCAGTTAGTGACCATAATGAACAGTACACATGCCTTTTTAACAGGATTATCATCTTTATGAAACATTTTCTCCTTTGGTTAAAAAGGGCATATGGTGTAATGCATTCTGAACATAAATTTTAAAAATATATATATACATATATATAATGCAGACAATTTTCATATTCTGAAAATAAGTACACAAAACAAATTAATTTGCCATTCTAGAAACTTCCCTTTACCAACTTCGCATGAGATTATGTTCAAGCAACTAAACTTACCAGTTCAGGTGCTTTGCAAACAGACTTGGGTTCTCTGTAATTTACAACAGATGTAAGGGCCTACACAAGAAAACAGCCCAGTGATTAGTTACCAGAAGCAGGCAGAAGCACACAGGTGGCTAAGGATCAGCTGTCTGGTCTATGTCTATGATATCCACAGTTTAGTTATTCTCTCTATCCAGTACATAATGTATAGGTGTTCACATAAAGGAGTATACACACTCGTGTACAAATGAAGGCAAGGTCTACCTTCACTATTGTTCTTCAAGAGCTCCAGAGTCTGTGATGGGACCTAGGGTATAAGCTAGCTGGACAGCAAGCCCCATGATCGAAGTCCCTCTCCAGGACTAGGATTATACTGTCACACCACTGTTTGTACATGGGTGCTGGAGGTTGAGCTATCCCCAGCAACTCTTAAGGCTGGGTGTTAAAAGGGATATTGGCTGCCCCAGGGGAAGAGGGAGACTTCTTTTCCTTCTTTCTGTGTTTTTTTTTTGGATCACCATTAGGTGAATATTTTCATGTACTATGAGAAGCCCAAAGCAAAACAGACAATTAGGCAGAAACTTGTGAAACTCTTGAGTTAAAAAACTTCCTTCTGCTTAGCTCAGTGTTCTGTCACGGTGGCAGAAAGATGACTATCTCACAAACCAAAAGTGAATTTCCTATGTCAAACATCAACTCAAATTCCTGGTGTCTTTCAAACCAAGAATGAATACAGCCTAAATGTGGTGTAGGTTATAGGAAAATACAGTCTGAATGTGGTATAGGTTATAGAGAAGTAGTATAAATGCGGTATAAGTTGTAGAGAAATACAATCCTGCCACTGCCAGGTCTCTAACAAAGGACCTGTACTAAAGACCACTAGAATTATGTATACCAGGTCACTAAAAACCCAGTAATACTGACATAAGACACTCTATAGGTTCATTGTTACTACTTTAAAACTTAGATTCTCAAATTTAAACTTGTTATTTAATGTACATTTCAGTGTCTCAAGGATCTCAAATTTGAATGCCTAACAAAGGTGCCCAACTAAAAACTAGTTAAAGGAAACCCCATGTAGAGATCACATGCATGGATTATTTGTTTAAAAGTTACCTTATCTAAAGCACTCATAAAATGCTGATCACCATTCAAAACAGTGTTGATAAGTTGAACGAATTTACCATGTACTTCCAAAACTGATTCCACAAATAGTGTTGGCATCTAAAAACAAAATACAAAGTATAAATCTATATTTTAAAATTTTCAAGAACAAAGTTTGGATAAAGAGTAAATACTTACACACTCATATTCCTCCATACCCCCAACTCCACATCTCTGGTTACATTGGGCTTAAAAGTCTAAGACTTCTTTTTATCAAATGGGACTGCCATTCAACACCAGGCCTAACAGGTCCTCTGCCACGTAAACGCACATACTCTTATGCTGGAACAGCATGCCTTAAGGGCCACAGAGCCAATCCCTAAATCCCAGGCCCATCAACACCAGAGTGAATTCTGAAAAGAGGACTAGAAAGCTTGTACCTGAGAATGAGATCCTGGAGTTAGTTGAGCAGAATTGACTGTCCACATGTGTGAGTGCACGAGTGGGCGCGCGTAGACGTATACACACACACACATACACATACACACGCAGAGCTTAAAGGGAAGCAATACTTAGTCTGAGTTTCCCTCTGGAAGAAAATGACTGAATTTGAGGGGTTCTGGAAATGCCTATTTTCACATCTCCACCCTGAAATGAGGTTCAGTTTTTGTTCAATGTCACTCAATGCTTTGAATCTGCAAACCTAGCAATAAACTATAAACATGCCTAGTAACAACAGCAACAATATATGGTCACTAGGTAGCAAAGGCCATTTCAGATAAATGAAGGTTAGACAAGGTGAGGATATTTGACTATGGTATTTTGAATGGCAAGCATACAGGCGGGGGAGGTTTTAGTATCTGTCATGTACAAAGCAACACGACTGTACAGACACTGCAAATAGTCAGAAAGTCAGAAATGCTATCAGTATTACGAGGAAGCAGCTAATCAATGGTTTTAATCCCAAGAAGAGCTCAGTAAATTCAAGATTTAAAATATTAGAATAGAGATGCCTTAGTTTCTCATGACAAAACTCTTTTTTATCAAGGTTAAAAGAACACAAACCCTCTATACATCCCGGTAGAAGGAAGCATTCTAACTGCCCTGTGCAACTCACATGTTCCTGAGTAAGGTTACTGGTTGCTCTAAGGCCCTCGTCGTGGATGTGTTTCTGCAGCTCCTCAATCATATGAGGTAAACCACTGGACACAGCACGGAGTAAGACGTACATATTTGCCATGTCTGAGAGGAAAAAGAGTTTATTAACTTTACAAACAACCTTATTATGTAATACATGCTTTTAAATGTACAAGTTAAAAGGAGTATGTGGATAAAAGCCACCTGCCACTTGAACCCAAACACATAAACTCTCTTCCCAGCTGCTGTGCTGTCCTCTGCAAAAGAAAGCAGATGTTGTTGCTGGTACTATGTCCTGGTGATGGAGAATACTCATATCAAAGAATACTCATATCAAATCAAGAGAATACTCATATTTTTCCCCTTCTTTTTCACTCAAGTGCTACTGTACATGTGTGTGCTACTGGTAACTGCAGCATAGCTTAATGTACACGAATTTTATACTGGTACATAAAGCAAATCCACATATTTCACAACTTTATTAGTTACTTGAAAATTAATGGGAAATTATATTGTAATTAATACTATGGGCAAGAATATCTGTACTGGCTGGTTTTGTGTGTCAACTTGACACAAGCTGGAATTATCACAGAGAAAGGAGTCTCCCTTGAGGAAATGCCTCCATGAGTCCAGCTGTAAGACATATTTTCAATTAGTGATCGAGGGTAGGAGGGCCCCTTGTGGGTGGTGTCATCCTTGGGCTGGCAGTCTTGAGTTCTATAAGAAAGCAAGCTGAGCAAGCCAGGAGAAGCAAGCCAGTAAGTAGCATCCCTCCATGGCCTCTGCAACAGCTCCTGCTTCCTGACCTGCTTGAGTTCCAGTCCTGACTTCCTTTGGTGATGAACAGCAGTGTGGAAGTGTAAGCTGAATAAACCCTTTCCTCCCCAACTTGCTTCTTGGTCATGATGTTTGTGCAGGAATAGAAACCCTAAGATAGTATCTGTAATAGAGACCTCTATTAAAGGTGCTATGGTTGTGCCAATCTTGTGGGCAGATCCTTCTAAGCAGAGAACCTAGCAGCAAGGTGGGTAGAAATGGCTCAGCAGGTAAGAGCATTGGCTGCTCTTCCAGTAGCCCCAGTTCAATTCCCAGCACCTATATGGTGCTCACACCTTCACACAGACATACATACATGTAGGCAAAACACCAAAGCAAATAAAATAAAAAATAAATGAATGAATCTTAAAAAAAAAAAAAAACAGCTCCTGTGTCACTGAACTGTGTACTGTATTTATCTTAAACATCTTATTGAGGGGTTAATATACATGTAGGCAACTGTACAGATACGGCTCCGTGAATTATCACAGATGAACACACAACACCCCAAATATGCACACCCAGATATAGTAGATATTACCTAAACCTAGATATGGCCTGCATCCATCTCCCAATACTACTACTCCTCTGTAAGGGAAAGTAGCCACAGCTGAACTCCTCTGGCTTGAACTATGAACACAATTACATAACTCTTTCTCTTGGCTGTTTTGTGTGTGTGTGTAGAACATAAGGCTCGTCTCTGCTGTGTTTAGCTTTCATGAACTCATGGCTACTCCTCTGTAATAATCCCCAGTATAATCATCACTGGATGTGTGACTGTTTCTAGTCATTAAAGGAACCTTGCTATGAAAGACTGTTGTATATTTTTATATACACATGCACAGATGCATAAGGGAAGGAGGCCCATAGCTGGGAGACTTGCTAGGCCATGAAATATACATATATACATTGCTTTGGTACTCAGTGTTAGCTTTGCAATATGGCTTCATCAATTTATACTCTCATCCCAGGTTACTGGAAGTTCTTGGTATCCTACATACTTCCTTAATATGTCCTATATTCTTCCTGACTACATAGCCAATCACACACAAACACCACCAAACAACAGCAATAAAATAAATGTTTTCACCATTTATTGCTGGTGTCTCAGGGAACTCTTGCTTTAAAGTGAGTTAGACTGAGCACCTGTTTTATCCTTCCTGATTTGATTTCCTACTGTCTATAAGGAAAGTAGCCCTAGTGATATATAAAACCATAAACACATTTTCTTAACTCATCATTTTATACTTTATACTGTACCTTGAAAATGCTTTTCCAAACAATTAACCAATAATCCTAAGGAAATATGTAATATACCAGGGGATATTAAAGTGTGCTTTAAATCTAAGGTAAGGAAGAAACAGCAGAAAAATCGGACTTATCGTTTGATTTCCACTCACTGGTCCCTGGGCACTTACCATTCTTCCTTTCTTGCCGAATGATGCTGTGGCACTCTGAATGTAAGAACTGTAAGTGGTCTGCTACCATCCGCTGCTGACACTCATGAATCACTTTAGTATATGAACTTGGATGCAAATATTTTCGACATCTAATTTCTTCATCTTTTAATCTACCTAGAACCTACAGAAATACATCCTTATAACATGATCTATGATGCACATGAGCCAACTCTTAATGCCTCTAGGAGAATGCGGGTAAGGTTATGGTAAAGCTTTACACAACCAATTTCAACTCAAAATGTATTAGTCATTTCAGATCAACGTAAGCCACTGTCACCGACATGCCCCAGCTGCACTCCAGCAGCTGCCAATCGTCAGCCCAAGTCACCTGCTGTCCTGGGGCCCAGCACAACAGGAGTGCAGAGTGAAAGTCATGACATGAAAACATTCCTCTCCCTTGTTCCCATTTTTATGAAATAAGAACAAACTACATACACAATCCTTAATTGCCACATTAAAGACTTGTATACTGACCGAAATATGTCAACCAAGACCTTGTATTAAAGATTACCCTGCATGAAAAGGAATCAAATCCACATAAAATACAGGACAATGAAAAGCTAACGAAGATGGGAGGCAAAGAACATGACAAATTGTTTAACAAACAAAATGACAATATTGTAGCCTTAAGGAGTATGCTAGTAAGACATACACAAGTGCTAGTGTGTGGACTAGGAGAGCGCTCTGATATGAAGCTATGGAAATTATGTGTGACCTTTTAAAGACTGCTGGTTGGTCAGTCTGCAAGTAAGAAGGGAAATCATTACAACAGGCAATGAGGAAGGAATCATTACAATCAAGACTAGACCCATCTCTCTATTCTACTGAAATGCCAAGAGTTATGGGTAGTTAGAAAAAAAATAAAGGTCCCTAGATTTTCATGAGAGATGCGCCTACCTCTGCCTCCCAAATGCTGGGATTAACTACATGCATCACCACCATCCAGCCAGGAAAATAAAGGTCTCTAGACTTTAAAAGGTGTTCGCTGTATTCTTTTGCTGGTCCTCTTAGAATATTTTATCTTCTCAGTTAAACCAACTAACAGAAGTCATCCAATAACAAATTGTTTGAACTTTAACCCTTCAAACCGAAGCTAGTTAAGCCAGACATAGTGATATGTCTCTGTGTAATCCCAGGACTCAGAGGTGAAGGAAGGCCACAGGGCTGCAATGACTCAAAGACCAGTCTAGGTTATAGAGCAAGACTCACTCTCAAAACATCAAGAACTGAAAACTTATGACAGCAGTAAAAATCTCATGTCCCTTTACAATGACTCTTTATCACTCTTGAAAACATTTGTAGGGTTTAAAATTCCATCTGATGGTTTGATACATTGTTCAACATTCAGCAGACCAAGAGTTAACCGTGACTCAGATTACTTTATTTGTTCTTCACTTTTTCTTCCCACCTTGTTATTTTATTTATATTAGAAACATGGTGGTGTGTATCACAGGCTCACCTGAATTTCCTTAAACAGCTGAGGATCTTGATCTCCTGATCATCCTATCTCTGCTAGACACTGGGATTACAGGCATTCATCCCATGCCAGCTTATGCAGTACTGGGGATTGAATCCAAGCTTCATAACTGAATCAAGGCATTTACAGACAAGTCTGAGGTCCTGAGTTTGATTCTCAGAACTCATGATGGAAGGACTGAATCCAACCCACAGGTTGTCTTCTGATCACCACACCTGAACAGCAGTACAATAGCCATTTTACATTAACTTTTTAAAGACTATTTTTAAAATGTGCATTTATGTGTGGGTATGTGCACAAGAATTCAGGTGCCCATGGAGTCCAGAAAAAGAATGTCAGGTCCTCTGGACCTACCATTACAAGAAGTTACACTGCGAACTAAACTCAGGTCCTCTACAAGAAGTGGATGTGCTCTGAATCACAGAGCAATCTACCCAGCCTATATTATATTAATTTTAATAATGTAACTAAAATAGCATTTTTTTCCTTAGGAGAAACAATATGATTGAAACTTTTACACTAAAACAATATTAAATATTAATAAAATACTGTAAATATTACACTCTTAAATAAAATACTGTAAGCCGTGTAACAGGTAAATGCACATGAGATGTGAGATTTTTTTACCTTTTCCATATACTGTGAACAATTTGATTCTTGTAATAAATTTGAAGCTTCTTGCTTGTAATATTCTCCCGTTTCGGTCAGAAAGGGAGACACAAATATTCCCTGATAAAACTGAAAAATCAATTAAAATTGTATTAGTAAAAACTGGAACAATTTCAGAAAATACAGGTTTCATCATGTTTTGAAATAGGCTTTTTACCTTTAAGGGAAATTTTTTCTTATACTGTTCAACATGAACAAAGGAGTTAATAACCCCATGGATTACTTTCTGGTTTGGGTCTTCTCCACCACGATCACTGAAACAAAGAGTAACATAAAATATATTTGAATATTCAGACATATACTCAAGCACACCAATACACAGCTGCTAACTTACTAATTTAATTAAAAGTACAAGGTCGCTGGGCAGTGGTGGCGCACGCCTTTAATCCCAGCACTTGGGAGGCAGAGGCAGATGGATCTGAGTTCAAGGCTAGCCTGGTCTACAGAGCTAGTTCCGGGACAGCCAGGGCTACACAGAGAAATCCTGTCTTGAACAACTCCCTAGCAAAAAGAGTACATGCATGAAACTTGAAGCAATTTCTCATTATCATCGTTATTATAGCTAAGACATTAGAAATCATCTCAGTTTGAAGGGAATGACGCGCTGTGACTCTCACTGAGGTAGTTCCTCAGCTCCGAATACCAGGCACATGAGCACATCCGCATCACACTGTACTCAATGAAGAGAGCAGCCTTCTCTCTAAGGTAAGGAACAAACAAGGATGCAGATATTCTCTAATTTTTTTTTCCTTAACACAGCTGAACATATCTTTTAAGTTCCAGCCTCAGCAATCATATAGGAGAAAAAAATAAATAGCATTTGAATTGGAAAAAAAAAAAGTATTGGTTTATAAATAGCCTTGGGTGTAGAAATATATCCCAAATTTTATACCACCAACCATCACCAGCAATAACAAAACCCCAAAGACCACTATTAAGGTAAATGAGTTCATCTGCAGAGTACAGAATGAACATGCAGGAATCAGTAGTGCTGCTGTATGCCAACAGAGAACTACCTGATTTGGAAAGCAAGAAGGCAGTCCCAGTTTGAATTTGCTGTCAGAAATAACCAGGAAGACCATGAGCGTGAAAACTTGACCAAAGAAAGTCAGGTAGACTCACACTTGGTCGGAACTGACAAGGAACACCACACACTAATGGTACTAACTGAGGACAGAAAACCCAAACTCACTTTTTAATTTCTCGAAGCAGCATCCGGATGAGGATGTTCTGAAGGGGTTCAACCATTAGCTTCCTCCACATATCCAATGCTAGCTGCCAGGAAAAACAGAAATCATCAAGGGTGATTTAGGTAGTCTTTCCCTTAAGATTCATTCAAGGTTTCTATTTTAATACAAAAAACCCAACAACAGGAATATTACTGATATTTTAAAATATAAGCAAAGGCTGAAGGAAATCTATACTCTAGGAGTCCAAGTTAAGAACCTGGTGGCATCTAGGGTCCTGATCAGCATTTACTTAAAGCTTGTTTCAAATTTGGCTCAAAAACAACAACAACAACAAACAACAACAACAACAACAACAAAAACAGGAGAAAATAACTTTTCATTTAAAGTAGCAGCATCACATCAGAATTATAAGATTACAAATATTATTGTCATTACTGTATGTATATATATACTTGCATATTATTGCTGTTATTATCAATTATTATTATTAGTGTGTTTATGTTCTAGAGTTGATTCTCTCCTTCCATCATGAAGTATGTTCCAGAGATTAAGCCCAGCTTGCCAGCCTTACAGAGTCAAGAGGCAAGTACTTTACCCAGAGCCACCTCCCCTGCACCTATGGCTGCAATAATCACTGAAAATTAATAGTTTTGTAAAATCTTTATTGAATGTTCAATATGTAAATACTAGATGAAGATGGGCCAACCCCTTATGACAGACGGAAGGGGCAGACTAAAGCCACAAAGCAGTTCTCTGACTGCTATCACACTAAGGGGCGGATACAAATCTATGTGTGCAGTCACTTAAAGAAGTTCTTACCTCTCCTATTTCCATAAGTGGTTCATTCATATCTACTCCACCATAGCCATACTGTAAATCAGCTTCCGTCAATTTATTCTTTTTAATATACTGGGTATTGAGATATCTGAAAGTCAAATGTAACAACCATGGATGTAAAGTCAAAAATCAGTCAGGAAAGCAAATAACTGATTTAGAACGCTAAATCTTAGAGTCATACATTCACAGACTAATTCAGTAATAACACCAAAAGAAAGCATATACAAGTCAGATAAATAAATGAGAACGGCAAATTTTTAGCCCTGGACTTCCTGCGAGGCTTACTACACCAATAGCTTTTCTGACAGTAAGAATGAAACGGCCCCCAGCACAGGAAAAGAAGATCCGCTTCCTCTTGATTCTCAACCACAATGCTCCTGGCTTCAAGCAGCATTCCTTACAATGGCTTTCAGCTAAGGAAGGACTAAGACAGGAATACAGGCCAGCACGAACCTGGTCTCTAGCCTGGAATGCCCTACAGCCAAGATTACAATGTCTGGCCACTCTCATTCAGATCTCCTACCTTTTGGGCCTGCCTTGATCTTCTTCTAAAAAACTCTACCTTCCTGTGAGAAACAAAATACTTTACCAACTACCATATGCACAGTCCTTTCCTTTCATTGCTAAACCTTTTTATATGCTCAGTTCCTCTCTGGAGTATAAGGGTGGTGAAGGACCTCTTCTAGCACCAGTCAAAAAAGAGCAGCAGGCAAATATCAAGTTTTAAAAGGAAATTCCTATTCAAAATATTACTGAATTGTAAAAGAATGGTAACAGTCTAAAAACAACAGGGCGTGCAAAAGTTTACATTTGAATACAAATGTGGATAAGTAGCCTGAGCCAGGCTGTAAAAGCCACGAATGCCACAGATAAGCAAGCAAATGCTCAGGTACACACACACATATACAACGGCAAGCATATGCTCAAGTACACACACATATACAACGGCAAACATATGCTCAGGTACACATACACATATACAATGGCAAGCAAATGCTCAGGTACACACACATATACAACGGCACTTGAAGCTGAGGAAGGGGCATGGCAAGTTACGGACCAGGCTAAGGTAACAAGACTCTGTCTCAAAACAAACAACAATTCTAAAATGGATTAAATAATGTTAAAAAATAATTATGTACCCGGTGAGGCCAAACAATAGGGAGTTTGCGCCCAACAAGTTCCAGACCAGCTCGGAGACAGTGAGAGATTCTCATCTTTTTTTTTTTAAGATTTATTTATTTATGAGTACACTGTAGCTGTCTTTAGACACACCAGAAGAGGGCATCGAATCTCATTATGGATGGTTGTGAGCCACCATGTGGTTGCTGGGATTTGAACTCAGGACCTCTGGAAGTGCAGTCAGTGCTCTTAACCACTGAGCCATCTCGCCAGCCCGAGAGTCCCATCTTAAATGAACAAAAACTACTTGAGGAAACTGGTATTTCTCTCTCTACATACATTTTCTTACAGAGTGTGACTACAAACAAGGAAAAGTACCAAGCAACAGTAGCACACACCTTTAATGCCAGCCCTTGGGAGGTATACTAGGCCTGATCAACAGAGCTAGTTCCAGGACAGTCAAAGCTACAAAAAGAAACTCTGTCTAAAAAAACAAAAACACAAACAAACAAAGCAAAAAACAAAACAAAACAAAAAAACAAGGGAAGGCCTAGAAGACACGATCAGTCCTACCACCCAAGAAAAACACTACAGAGGTGTTTTCTTCTAATATTGTCAATACTGCCCTCTGTGAAAGGATCTCATTACTACTCTCACCACCAATACAATTAAACAAGTGAGCATGTTACGTGATGCCAATACTACAGGACAGTTAATTGACCCCCACAGGTATCAGCTCTATGACTGTGCTATAGACAGTGGAAAGCTAGTGATTTTAGACAGTAACCAAGTACCCTAATAAGATAACATTAATTAGGCATGGCTGCATACACCTATAATCCTAGCTAGAGAGCTTGAGAAGTAATCAACTACAGGCTGAGTTCAAGGTCAGCCTAGGCTAATGAGACTTTGTCTCAAAAAAAAAAAAAAAAGCATGTAGAAAGGCTCTGATATAAGAAAATGAATGAGCCTCGATCCCAACTGATTAAGTGCACAGGCACCTACTCTTCAAACTTCAACAAGACCTACAATCTAGCTAGGGGTTATGTTAATAAAATCTTACCATGTTGAAATACTATGTCATAAAAGTTAAAGCCACAGTAAACCTGTACTTCATAGTAAGCTGTTTTTAAATTGTGTTTTTACTCTTATAAAGGCCACTGTGCCATTGTGAAATCTAGTTTCTGCAAAGGCAACTTAGATTAAGTAACCTATACTTCTGTTGAACCTCAAGGCAAAGGAGTAGCACCACACGGAGAACTGAGAGCTGCTGTGATACTATGGTGGGCACCGCCACAGAGCAGGGTGCAGTAGCAGACTGTGCCTGGAGAGCTACCAAGTCATCAGCTTTTCCACAGTGAGAAACTGAAACCCAGGCCATTTATGGGACAAGCCACAAAGCATATGGCAAAATTATCCCTGCACTCATCTCAAGCCATTAAGATTACAAGAGTGGACTCTCTAGGCCTAGAATAAGAGAAAAGTACTTCATGTGAGTGTTTGGTATTTATTTACTCTGTCAATAAATGTCTGCTTTGCTCAGCAATAGTCATGAACAGGTATTTTAAATGATGAACGACTTTCACAGGGATTCCTAAGACTTAGTGATGGTATAGCCACATTGGCTATGAATGTAGAAGCTTTGCTGTTGAAACATCAGTGACATTTCCTAAAATTTAAGTTCTATCATTATGTAACAGTATTACTTCTATAGGACTGAATCATATAGGATCAGCTCAAGAGAACCACGGAAGTACAGGACCTCAGCCAGAGACCATGTAGGAAAGAGGAGAATTTAGGAAGGGAAATAAGAACCTGTCAGAATTAGTTGTCCAGAGAAAGGAGGCAAGGGCAGCAAGATGGAGCAGTATGGGTAATGAAAGGAGGAAAGGAGGGAGCATGATGCATAGCTATGGCTGAATCAGCATGTCCAGGGGGCCTGAGAGAAAACTACCAAGTGCTCTAAGAGGTCTCAGCCTGAAATGCACACTTATCTTCTGGAAATATGGCTTAGATTTACTCCACTAAGCGTCATCCAACCTGAGTTTTTAGACTCATCTGTTGGAGTTTAACACGTTCTAGACAATTTGAAGAAACAGATACAATATTTACTTTTTTTCTTTTTCAAGGGTAACTGTCTACACCCCTGACTGTCTCACAAATACACACCTTGCTCTGATGTGGACCTATCTATCAAAGTATCTATTAGTAATCCATATTCCAATGGGAAATAATATAAATCACTCCTTCATAATTAAACTCATTAGAATAATATACATTAATTAAAAACAAATCACTGGGACAGAAAGAAGGCCCTGTGCTCTTCCAGGACCATGTTTCAATTCCTAACATCCACAACCACCTGTAACCCCAGTCCAAAGGGATCTGATGCCATCTACTGGCCTGAGGATGCCAGGTACATAAGAGGTACAGAGACACACATGCAGGTAAGACACTCATATACAAATAAATCTTGTTTGGCTGATTTTGGTTTATTTGAGATAGGGTTTCTCTGTGTAGCCCTGGCTGCCCTAAAATTCACCTTGTAGACAGGCCTGACCTCAAACTTGTAGAGATCTGCTTGCCTCTGCCCCTACCTCTGCCTCCTGAAAGCTAGGATTAAAGATATAGCCTACCACCATCCAACTATAAAAGTAGATCTTACAATGAGCTATGAATGCAGATATTACAAGTGCTCAGGATTCAAAGCACTCACCTATATAAGCAGTCCATATAGTCGGCGCCCTTGCTGTATTCTTCCCAGTACCTATGATACATAACAAGCACTTGTTCTTCAGACTCCAGAACTCTCTAAACAGAAAAAATATTTTTGCTTTGAAAGTACTAATCATTTTCATTACATAAAATTATAAAAAATATGGAATCGAACTCCTAAAAACAGCACAAATCAAGCACCATCACCCACATTTATAAATTATATTTTAATGATATTTAGTACAAATGAAACCTGAAAAATAATGTGAGCTTTAACACAGAGAGTGACTATCCAAAGATTTCTCCAAAATAAAGGGACAAATGATTGTAGCTTGAGAGAGACCATGGACTGAGATTGTAGCTCAGTGGTACCATGGTCACCTGGCATTAGCAAAGCTCTATGTTCAATTTGTAGCACCACAAAATTAATATAAAAACAATTCGAGCATATTCATGGATTTTTGCATAGAAATTATTTTTAAACCTGTTTTTGAGATAGGACCTCTTGTTGCTCAGGCTGGCCTGTACCTTGCAATGGTGTTCCCCTGTGCTGGGGTTACAGGCATGTAGTGATATAAGCAGCTTGGGCACTGCTGGGGGTCATCCTGGTGTTAGGTAAGCAGGCCACCAACTGAGTGAGTCTTCAGCTCTTCTTTAAGATGATGGGACTTTGTAAGCAAGACTGAACCAGAACACTCTCTGTAGCCTAGGATCACCTTGCACTCAGCAATCTTTCTACCTCAGCCTCCCCAATATGGGATTTTAGGCTTGAGCCATAAGCAACTTCAATTCTATTTCTCAAAGAATTCATGCTAGGCACAGTAGCATGCCCACATGCCCCTTTAACAAAGATTTGTGATTTCTAGGCTACCCAGAGCTACAAAGTGAGACCCTATCTCTCAAAGTAAACAAAATAAACAAAATGGACAAGCAAAAACCCCACATAGCCTCAACAGTATGTTCTGGTCCCCTCAGTGCTAGGTGGTGGGGCTGATTGAGAACTCAAGACCAGCCAGTTAGGCTACTTAGTAGTTTGATCCATTTTGGAAAACATGATATTTTGTCTCAAAAAAAAAAAAAACCCACACACAGCCTAACTTAATAAATGGCAACATTAATGTCTTATATAGCTACTAATACATAAAGCAAAGTTCAATAGCTTAGAATAGTCAAACTTTACCCAAAGTAATACATTAAAAACACTGAAATAATTTTAAAGTACTTGCTATCAAAACCACTGCTATGAGTTGATACATGCACATACTCAAACACTGAAGAGTGTATGCAACAGACAATAAACACGAACTAAAAACAGCATATTCCTCCTCCACATTGTCCAACTTTCTGGGACAATAGGGTACCTCTTCCTAGTTAAGGCAGACGCTGTGTTGTCCTACCATTATGATCTGACAGCTGCCACCAACACCAAGGCAGAGTGCAAGATTCCTCTTGGTCCAGTGATATTTAAGGACCATGCAGGTGACACAGCAGCTCTTTTAAATGAGTGAGATCTGTGATGACAGCTCCATTATATAGCAGGTACAAACTCTAAAGAACAAACTGATTTGCCCTGTGAACCAAATGTTGCTTAATTTGTAGACCTTAAATACAACTAGGAATACATTGTTTAGAAATTTAGGTCTGGTTTATTTTATATGTATTTTTAAAATAAGTATTTTGTATGATAAAATGTAGAATTAAAAGAATAACTTTGGTAGATGTTTTCCACTGTAAATCAGTGAGCTAGTCAAATAACTGCAGCTGTAAACATACGCACATCACAACACTAGCCCTTACCTTATACAAATGCCGAACGTGATTTTCCAAAAAAATCTTTGTTTCCGCATAAAGTCTTTCTCCAAGTGGTTCAGGATAGGCCACACATAAAGCATAGATATCTCTAGATAGATTATTAAGGTTCTCATAGTCAAAACATGATATTTATATTTAGCATTTAAAAAAGAAAACATCAAGCTGGGTGTTGTGGTACCCTAGAATCCTGGAACTTCTGCCTCTATTTCCCTAGTGCACCATCAAGACCAAAGATGCAAAGTCAAACTGAAAATATAGGGCTATTTAGGATAGAATCATGCATTTATACTTTAAATGAATAATAAAAAAAAAAAACAGGGCCGCAGAGACATTTGCTACTGAGAGGTCTTGAGTTTGGTTCCTAGCACCCAGATAGCAGTTCACGGCCATCTCTAACTCTAGCTCCAGACACACCCTTTTCTGGTCTCTATGGGCAAAACGTATGTTATGTGCCACAAACACCTCTGTAAAATCACCTATACACTGTGCTACCTGTAGTATAATAAACCTTTAGAAAACTAAATTATCTATCTAAAAGAATACAGTATGGGAACAGGAGACGGATCAGCTGTTGCAGAGAATCAAAGTGCAGTTTCCAACAATCACTTTGGGCAGCTCTTAACTGATTTAAACTTCAGGAATCCAATGCTTCAGCCTCAGAAAGTACCCACACATTGTGTACAAATCCACATATATACACAATAATAAATTTTAAAGAACACAGTATATTAGAACACAGTATATTAGAACTACTTACTATCAATGACTTTTTTTTTAAGATTTATTTATTTATTTTATGTATTTACGCCATTGTTCTCTTCAGACACACCAGAAGAGGGCATCAGATTCCATTACAGATGGTTGTGAACCACCATGTGGTTGCTGGAAATTGAACTCAGGACTTCTGGAAAGAGCAGTCAGTGTTCTTAACCACTGAGCCATCTTTCCAGCCCAACAACTTAAAACTATAAAATATTATCCAACATTACAGAAAGCAGAGATAAAAATACTCATCACTTACAAATTTAAACTTCCACTATGAAAAAACTGACAATAGTTTGGTAAAGGGAACAGGTATCAAGGCACTGATAGGGAAGGTGCTTCAAAATATGTTGAGCTTCTCAATATAGCTTGTGATTTTCAGCTATATTTTATTGATTTAAATCAGGGTCTTTATTTATTTTTGATTTATTTAAGTCAGGTCCTGGCTACCCTAGAACATGATCTGCAACCAGACAGGCCAGGAACTGAGACCCACCTGCATTTGCTTCTTAGAGCATTAGGATTATTTAAAGGTATGAACCACAATGCCAGACACCCCAAAAAAAATTTAAATCAAGGTAGACAACTTGAAGAATGATAACTGAGAATTGAGCCCTGGTCTCCACAGGATGCACACACCTACATACATACACAGATATATACATACATATGAACACATGAATGTATGATCAAATGAAGTAATAGTTACTTAAGGAGTAATTTTCCAGGTAAGCCATCTATTTCAAAGTCACTTACAAGCTACTCCGCTATTCCATAAAATACGGAACAAAATCTATTTTGTTTTTTAGATTCCTGCCCCCAAACAAATCAAATTGCTTCATAGAAAACCATCTAAGAGATGAATTCAGCAGAATCTGTATCAGATATGCTGAGCTGCAAAAACCAACCCCCCCCCCAAAAAAAGCAGAATATTAAAATTCTGTGTTCAACTCTGTGTCCTAATTATCACCGCAACCCCGGGAAGTTCATACAGACAGTAATTAGGATTAGAGAGATAGCTCCAAAGTTAAGAATGCTGATTGCTCTTCTGAGGACCTGAATTCAATTCCCACAACCCACATGGCAGCTCACATCTGTTTCAAGTGATATATATATCATGCTCTCTTCTGGCTCCCACCAGCACCAGGCAGCACAGGTACACAGACTACATACATGCAAATCACCACAGCAATAATACCCTGCTGATGATTCCACACTGTAAAAGCCTTTTAGAAAGAGCATCATCTTATGATCAGTGTCTGGAACACAGGACACCAAAGGAACGATTCTCACTGACAACTGCAGATATAATGAATTAAGTGATTTCCTGTTATTAGTTTGAAGGAATTCCTCTATTGTATATTCAACTTAGCAATAACAGTTCTGTCTTATGAAGTCGGTCTCTGAAGGACAGAAGTCCCACAGAACAAGTGCAGGAAGATTCTGGGCTGCACTAGTGTGGTCCTGTACATTCCTGCAATGCAGCCCAGAGCTGCATTCATATGTAAAACTTACAACTTACATGTGGAAACAACCTAATCAGCACCACAGTCAAATTTGCTATTTACCCTCTACATACAACACCATCATCTAGAGTCTGGGAAGTGTGTACTAAAGGCTTATGTTTACGTCTTGGCCACCAAGTGTTCAGTTTAGGAAATGGTGAAACCTTAAGTAAGTGGGCTATAATGGAAGAAGTCAGGTGCTAGCTGTGCCCTGGAGACACTGGGATACTAACACCTTCCTGTTTGTTTCCTAGCCACCATGAGATAAACAGATTCCTGTCACATGCTTCCACAAGCCTGTGAGCACCTTACCACCAGTCAAGGAAGTGGGGACAAGTGACTGTAGAATAGATGTCCTAGGTTCACAGTCTGATGAGCTTTGTTAGAGTAACCAAAAGACTAACGCAGAGAAGTTTCACTTCCCTGCAGGCCTTTCTTGATTCATCTACCCAGGGCCACATGACACCTCTTCTCTACCCCTTTACTCCACTCCATCTCTTGCCACAGTATCTACTAAATCTTATTAGAAGCACTGGCACTAGATTGTTGTTGTAAAAGCCTGGCATGGTAACTCACAACTATACTAACAAACAACATTTGTGAGACACCCCCCCCAACCCCCACCCCACCCTACCCCCGTGATTTTGAAAACAGCAAAGGCCAGGCTGCCTTGAACTTCTGAATCTGCAAGCCAGACCCAATTAAATGTTGTCCTAATGAGTTTCCTTGGCCATGGTGTCTGTTCACAGTAGTAAAACCCTAGTACTTCCCTGTACAGAAGTTGGTACTGGGAGTGGGGTATTGCTGTGATAGGCTTGACCCTGCTTTTGTTTGGAAAAATGTAGATTTGGGGACTTTAGATTTGGAACCCAGTGGAATACTTTAAGTGGGGTTAATGGGCCATCCTAGTAGGAATATGGAAGACTTTGTTACTTAAGCAGCTTAAGCTTATGAAACTAAAACTAGTATTCAACCCCAGGGGGGAGCTAGTTGATACAATTAGGGCAGGAAATTCTTTGCCCAGCCACTGAGTTATCAAGCTACTTTTAAAATAATAAAACTGTCTAGTGTTTTCCATCCATGGGGCTAAGGATGGGCAGGAGGAGAAAGAGGGCAGCTAGGGTGGCTGTTGGCAGCATGGCAAAGCTAACCTAGAGAGGCTGAGGGAGTGATCACAGCTCCCCAGAAAAACTACCAGCTGGCCATTGACAGAGCTGAGCAAGACCAGCAGACATTGATCTCGGAGCCTAGCCAGGAGCATGGGCAAAGTTCCCAAGAAGGTGGAAGCATGTTTTTTAAAAATTACATGAAACACTGGGGTTACAATTATGCTCCACTATAATTGGTTTGTTTCAATCACCTTAAAATATAAAATACACTCTGGAGCACAGCTTGCAGGTCAAATCTGTCTGCAGCCTGTTTCTTAAAATAAATCTGCTTACCCTCCAGACAGAGTTATCAATTTAACAGACTGGCAAGCCAAGGACAGGTAAGATTATGCACAGAAACTTACCAACCTAAGACAGAAGTGCATTGCTTTTGATAATGCATATTCCACAATGGGTAAGGAAGGCATTCTTGTTAGAACAACCTAAGACAGGCTCAGTCTTGTTAATGAAATAAAAAAGGGGGAGAGGCAGAGAGCTTTGCGGGCTGCTTGGTAAGAATATGACATGGGGCAAGGACAAGGAAATGGGCTGCTTGGCAGGAATATGACATTGGCCAAGACATCAGGCTAGAACAAAGAAGTAATTTCAGGCAGGAATCTAATTATTAGGCTAGAACAAGGAAGTAGGCTTCAGACATGAAAATGATTTGGGGCTAGGACAGGGAAGTTGGCTCAGATATTTAAGTCATCCTGATAAGCTCTTAGAAACAGTGACCACGGGAGTGTTCACAGAATTTTGTTTATTGCCTTGCTTGTTCTTTGACTAATTGTGTTTATTGTCTTGCTTGTTCCTTGACTATTTGCATCTATTGTATTGCTAATCCCTCAACCTAGAACTAACCTTAATTAATACTTGCATGTAATTAAAATGGTATGAAAGCAAAAAGGAAGAGGGGGGATGAGATGGGGGGGGTTCCAGGGAGGGGAAATGGGGAAAGATGACATCTGAAATGTAAATAAATAAAATATCGAATTTAAAAAAAAAAAAATGCCAGGCAGTGGTGGCGCAGGCCTTTAATCCTAGCACTTGGGAGGCAGAGGCAGGCGGATTTCTGAGTTCGAGGCCAGCCTGGTCTACAGAATGAGTTCCAGGACAGCCAGGGCTACACAGAGAAACCCTGTCTCAAAAAACCAAAATAAGTAAGAAAATAAATAAATTTTTTTAAAAAAAGAGTTGCCTTGGTCATGGTGTCTGTTCACAGCAATAAAACCCTAACTAAGACACTATGTTTCTATACTCCTGATGACCACAGTAGTGTCAGATTCATACTCAGTCCTGGGGACTTGTTGAATGAAGTGTTGTGAAAAACTGATTGCTACAAAATTGACAGAAATGTATCCTAAAACAGTTATGCCTAAGGTTCTAAACTTGTTTTCTTTCTTTAACAAACTTTGATTTAATGTTTCTATGGCTTCCACCAAAGGATACGAGAAGCGGTCATTCCATGTTGCTCGCTCGACATATTCCAACATAACAACAGCTTTGATTGTAGTTAGGAGCTTGTTCCATGTCTCATCAAAATCCACTACTCTTGGTTTTAAAGACATTGTGCAAGTTTAGTGTTGAAACCTGTTAATTAAAAATAACAAAATTAGCATAAATCCAACAGGGATAGTTATGCTTTTAAAATACCATTTATTGGGACTAGGGCGGTGGATCTTAGGTTAAGAGTAAGTACTAGTATGTACTACTCTTTCAGAGGACCAGAGTTGGATTCTCAGCAACCACATCAGATGGCTTACACAGCCTACAACTCCAGTTCCAAAGAGATCTCATGCCTTTGGCCTCCATGTACACATACTCACAAACAAATACACACAAATAATAAAAATAAAGTACTACATAATTTAATTGCATGATACATAAAAGGAGCAGAAACACAAATGAGTACAAGAACATTAGATTTTAGCTATCACCTTTTTATAATCATTCAAACAAATTGCTAATGAACAGTATGTGAGTCGGGCAATGGTGGTGCACACCTTTAATCCCAGCACTTGGGAGGCAGAGGCAGGTGGATTTCTGAGTTTGAGGCCAACCTGGTCTACATACAGAGTGAGTTCCAGGACAGCCAGGGCTACAGAGAAACCCTGTTGGGAGGGGGGGACCAACTCGTCTCCCAGGTCATGACTAGGGTCGACACATTGCCGGGCAGTGGTGGCACATGCCTTTAATCCCAGCACTTGGGAGGCAGAGGCAGGCGGATCTCCGAGTTCGAGGCCAGCCTGGTCTATAGAGTGAGTTCCAGGACAGCCAGGTCTACACAGAGAAACCCTGTCTCGAAAAACAAAAACAAAAAAAAAAAGATTTTGACCATGAATTCTTTATTGTATTCTTCATCTGAGGAATGATTTATATACAAGGAAAGTAAAACACTCCTAGGATGAATGTTTTAGAAAAAGATTTATATAAACAAGCAGGAGAGGCTAGAGAGATAGCTCACCAGTTAAGAGCACTGGCTTTTCTTGCAGAGGACTCTGGGGTGTAGTCCCCACATGACTGCCTATTACCACATGTAACTCCATTTCAAGAGGATGTGATACCATCTTCTGGTATCCATGGTCAGCAGCTGTGCTAGTGGTATGCACATCTATATCCAGGCGAACACATAAAAAGATTTTAAGGATAAAAAAAAATATGCAGGGAAAACTTTTCAGAGTAGAATACAAAGTTCACATGAACTTAAGACTTTAAGGAATGTTAGGTTTGCTCAACAGAAAGCTTGAACCACTCCAGACTCTCAGGTTGTGTGAGTAATACTATTAGAATAAATATGGTTTCAGCATATAGGATCAAGTGGGACTAAAAGATGCTCTAGGACTGGCTAACAGGCTGCATTTATGAGTTGCTTGCTTTCTAGAGCAAAAAACTACTAACGTTGTAGAAAATTGGTACAAACTGAATCTTAAAAAAATTCTATAAATCAATAAAAAAATTCTATAAATTCAATAAATCAAGTAGATCCTACTGTTCTTGCCTCTCTCTTTGTAAGAAAGAGTTACAGGAAGATGGAGGAACATCAGGTGGCATCAGGAGTCAAAGCTGGGCCAGGTAGTCCTTTCTTTTAGCTCTTTATACAGCTTCACTCCCATGTTTAGAGAATGCCTCTGTCTTCCCAATCTAGGCTGTGAAAATGTATTTGGCCTACCATGATTAAGGGATCAAAATGATGAAGATTATGATGATTTGTATATGCTTGGCACAGGAAGTGGCACTATTAGGAGGTATGGCCTTGTTGGAGTAGGTGTGTCACTGTGGGCATGGGCTTAAGACCCTCATCCTAGTTTCCTGGAAGTCAGTCTTCTAGCAGCCTTCAGATGAAGATGTAGAACTCTCAGCTCCACCTGCACAGTTCCTGTCTGGACGCTGCCGTGCTCCCACCTTAATAATGGACTGAACCTCTGAACCCATAGCCCCAATTAAATGTTGTCCTTATAATAATTGCCTTGGTCATTGTGTCTGTTCACAGCCGTAAAACCCTAACTAAGATGACGATGGTAATGATGGTGGTGGTAACGATGATGATGATGGCAAAAACAGATGAGTCCAAAATTCTTAACCATAGAATTTCAGACCTTGGATAATGAAGAGGGGGTTTGTCTGAAACTGCTTGCATTCAAATGCCAAATTCTGTACGCCAAAATCTGGTTGCTCCAAGACAAACGTATCCTCATGTATTACAGCTTTTGTTGTATGAACCTTGCTCCCCAAGTTAACTGGTCAATAAAAGGCTAAAGCCTGTGACTGGACAATAGATAGAGGTAGATGGGTGTTCAGTTACCTGACTGGGAGTCACAGGTAGAGTGAGGAAGAGAAGAGAGGAGGCAGAAGAGGATGCCACAATGACAGGACATGGACCATGAGCATGTGGCAAGGAGAAACATCAAGTAATAGGAGACATATGGCTGAGATTAAGTTAGCATAGCTCCAAACCTGCCCAGTCTAGGCTTACAGCTTATAAATACGATTTTTGGATTGTGTGTCTTTTATATAGGCTAGCTAGGATTTTTATTCATTTCACAGAAGAGAGTTAGTAGTTTAGAATGAATACTGTTCTTGAAAAGGACCCAAGTTCAGCTCCCCTGAGCTTTACATGCAGCTTGTAAGAAATTGTAACTCTAGCTCTGGGGACTCAATGCACTTTTCCAAACTGTAAGCAGCAGGACTCATGTACATACTACCACACACATGTACACATAACTTATTTTTTTCTTAAAAGAATCTCAGAGTCTAATCAAAGATAACCTAAGCAAAAAGTTAACCAAGTGACTTGGGTACTTGTCACTCGGGTACTTGTGCGCCATCTGATGCGCCCCACTGCAGGCAGCAGTTCAGACTCATTCACAACATGCTAAGCCCAGCTTTCCTGAAGAGGCCTCGGGGAAGGAAGGCAGCTGGCTTTACAGCTTCCTCTGAGGGAGCTCTCTCTTGACACAGTAATCTAGTCACTTTTCTGCTCATAGGTCACTTGACTGAGTCACAAATTCTACCTTCGTCCTTCCTGCCTCTCTACCTACCATCCCTCCTCAGTACTCTCCTCTGCAGGGCCCGGGCTCCTGTGAGATACAGCCTGCATCCACATCCAGCTGCTGTGAGACTTTCTCTAGGGTGACTCCATTGAGTAAACACTCACATGGAGTGATTTGTTCTTCTTGCCATCTTTCTTTTAACCTTCCTGCTTAAACTTATATGAAAATACTTAACAACTCTGCTTCTTAAATAAAAAAAACCTTTCTTGGTAAGGGATGTACACCATGCCAGTAAATTGTTAGTCTGCCTTCATTTGTACAGCATCAGACTGAAACTTCCCTGACACTAATGATGACAATAGGAGTGAGTGTGTTATGATGATAATCCATGCTTGAAGGGATAACAATTGTGGAAGCAACAGCAAGAGAACCTCCATGTTTTCACCAACCTAGTGAAACATAAAACACTAAACCAATAGAGAACATACAAAAATTATCTGTTAGACTGTTTATTCTCTGAAAACCTCAAAGAACACCTTTTTAAGCTGCTTCATTTTTTCCAAATCCTTTAAATAGCTTATTCATGGGAAGACAGGGCAAAGACACAAAGCAGAATCACCACCATTGTACTATTTCCCACCTCTGAGGCTACTGAACAGCTTTCAAACATACGGGGTATGCACTTGTCTTGCACATGAAAGGCCCTGGGTTCAGTCTCCAAAGAAATACCACCATGCATCACTTAACAGTGATAGACTCCAAAGTACTTATTAGACTATTCCATAGCGTGAACATCACAGTATATACTCACACAAACTAAGAAGGCTATGATGGCACAGGGCAATATAATCTCCAAGGGACCACCATTGCATATCAGTCCATCACTGGCTGAAACACAGTTTAAGTACATTTCTGTATGAGTTTTCCATCCTTGTTCTTTTATAGAGACCACAATTCACTTCCCATTCTCAGACTGTGTCCCATTGAATGCCTGCAAAATTCAATTTTTTTTTAGCTTTCTTCTGAGTTTCATTCTCAATTTGGTTGAGTTTTTTAACACATATTACCCGTGAATATCATAGGCCCTAAAACCACCTCTAGACCCAGATGTGCTGGCACATGCCTGTCTGTAATCTATGAACTTGAGAGGGTGAGACAACGGAGACGTCTAGGCTACATGATGAGTTTCAAGCCAGCTGTCATCATTACAGTGTGAGACCCATCTTTTTTTTTTTTTTAAATGTTTATTGATGTTTTGCCTGCATGAATGTCTGTGTGAGAGTGTTAGAAGCCCTGGAACTGGAGTTAGAGACTGTGGGTAGGGTGGCTGGAAACACAGAAAGTTCCTCCAGGTGGGAAGTTATGCACAGCAGTTGCGGCTACAGGGGCTCATTAAAGGCCTTTTGCACATTCCTCACAGAGCAGCCTCAATGACAAGAGAAAGTCCGTGGTTCCAAAAGGGTTTGTTTACATGGAGGATGGTAGATAGATCTGGATGTACAGCCCCCCACACACCCTCAGGGCAGACTTGAGTTAAATAGGGAGGAAGAGGGGTCTGGGGAAGAATGCTTAATTGGCTCCGCCCTCTGGCCTTCATTAGTATGTAAATCTCTCTAGGGCCTGAGGCCTGTAATCACACCCTCTACCAGTGCACTTTGGGGAGGGGCTGTAATGGCCTACGTGACTGAACAATGTAGGTCCATGGAGACTAGACCGAATGTCAGGACCCTGGGTTCTGGGGATGTGGCCAAACACCTGTTGCTTCTCCCTTGGAGTCTTGGGGTTTCAGGCCCATGCCCAGCCAAGAACCAAGATACCCTTATGCAGTCCCACAAGAGACAGGTGTGAGCTGCCATGTAGGTGCTGGGAATTAAACCCTGGTCCTCTGGAAGAGCAACCAACAGTCTTAACCTCTGAGTGATCTCTCCAGGCCCCTTGAGACCCATCTTAAAAAATAAAATCATGGACCCCAAATATTTCCAAATTATTAAGCTAGGTGTGCTGGTCTATACCTGTGATTCAGTCATAATTATAGCAATGAAGAAGGTAAAAAGGAGCACTGTGAGCTCTTGGCCAGCCTTGGCCACATAGTACAGTCTTCAAAAAAACAAAAACAAAGCTACAAAATCAAGCTTAAAAAGCTAATCCTAAATATGAAAATTTTATTTTACATTTGAAAATACTTCTAGCCAGGCGGTGGTGGCACACACCTTTAATCCCAGGACTTGGGAGGCAGAGGCAGGTGGATTTCTGAGTTTGAGGCCAGCCTGGTCTACAGAGTGAGTTCCAGGACAGCCAGGGCTACACAGAGAAACCCTGTCTTGGAAAAAAAAAATACTTCTAGACCAAATTTCCATTTGTAGCACTATTTAAAATTACAGCATACAAAAGTAGATCACATAAACATGGTTACCACTTGACCTGTCTAATCCTTTGTACATAATCAAGACATATGAAAACATGTCTATAAAGTAAGGGCACAAAATGTTCAAAGACATTCAAAGACAAAAACCAAGGAAACTATTAACTGAAGAACAGGTAAACGCAGTCCGCACTTCCACACACCACACTAAGCGAAACAGGAGAATAAAGTACCGAGGCTCACTACAGTGTGGGTGAATCTCAGCAGCATTCTGGCCAGGGAACAGCCTAGCAGGTGAGGCCCTAGGTCAGTCCTTGGTACAGATACCAGCTAACATCACAGTAAGTGATATCTGTGTTGTTGTCAAGTGGTCTTATTTCTATGGAATAAGAACAAGTATATCCACAGACACACACCAGACAGATATCGGAAGTCACAGCAAGACTTGGGTTCTGACTGCAAAGGGAATGAAATGCCCCAGATGCTAGAAGAAGCCACTGAACTAGTGAGGTACAATTTAATAATGCTTTCATATATTAAATGGATTATGAAAGTCTCACCAACACCTATGAGCATTACTACAGCTATTATGTGAAGAAAGAGTATATTAACACATCATCTAGCACATAAATCTGAAGTCTGTCTCCTTTGTCCTTCCATGTTCTAGTCAGTGGTTGAGTCTGCTCCAGTTTAAGGGAGCTGACCAGCCTCTCTGGCCTCTGTGGGCACAAGGAATACACCCAGTTCACATACATACTCATACATAGAACCTAAATAAATCTTACAACACAAAACTTTCTATTAGAGCTCCCAGTATGCCTGAAATCACAGCAACACAGGCTAAGGAAGATGTTTTGACTCTAACTTGGGCTACAAAATGAGGCTCTCTCTCTCTCACACACACACACACACACAAAATCCAGGGGAAGGTGCTGGAGAAACATTTCACCATTATCTGCTCTTCCAGGGCTGCAGTTCGGGCTGCTCAGTGCCCAGGTCAGGAAGCTCGCCACCACCTATAACTGCAGATCCAGGGGATCTGCAAGCATCTACATCCACATGCACATAGCCCTAACATACATCTACACACATTATAAATAATAAAAACACAGGCTGGAGAGAGACAAGCTCAGCAGTTACTGGCTGTTCTTTAGTAGGTATGAGTTCAATTCCCAGAACTCACTTGTAGTGTGAATTCAGATTGAGGGGCTCCAACACCTTCTGGCCTCTGTGGGCACCACATGCACATGGTGCACAGATATACCTGGAGGCAAAATACTCATACACATTGCACTGGCTGGTTTTATGTGTCAACTTGACACAAGCTGGAGTTATCACAGAGAAAGGAGCTTCAGCTGAGGAAATGCCTCCATGAGATCCAGCTGTAAGACATTTTCTCAATTAGTGATCAAAGGTAGGAGAGCCCATTGTAGGTGGTGCCATCCCTTGGCTGGTAGTCTTGAGATCTATAAGAAAGCAAACCAGTAATATCTCTTCATGGCCTCTACATCAGCTGCTGCTTCCTGACCTGCTAGAGTTTCAGTCCTGACTTCCTCTGGTGAAGAACAGCAATGTGAAAGTATAAGCTAAATAAACCCTTTCCTCCCCCAACTTCCTTCTTTCTCATGCATGATGTTTTGTGCAGGAATAGACACTCTGACTAAGATACACATTAAACAATAAATAAATCTTTTTTAAAAAATTAAAACTATCCAGGCATAGTGCATAGCCTTTAAGCCCAAGCCATGAGAGACAGAGGCAGGTGATCTGTGAGATGAAGGTCAGCTTGGTCTACATAGTGAATTCCAGGACAGTCAGGGCTATAGAGTGAGACCCCATCTTGAAAAACCAAAACCAAAATAAACCAGAAAATAATAAATAAATGACCCTAACATTTTCCAGTAAAAATAATAAAATGCAATCCAACATACCAAGCTATAAAAAGAAGTTTAACTAAGGATTTAACTCTGCGGTAAAATACTTCCCTTCCAAACCCAAGGCCCTTGGTGCCATCCTCAATAACAAACACACACAGATACAGAGATACTGATTTTCAACCAGAGGGACACTCAGCAGCTTAACAGCTTTCATTATAGAATCATCAATTGTGATAGTAACAACCTTATATCAGCCACATCTACTTCATAAATTGTTACTATATACATATATGTGTGTATGCATGTGTATATACCTATATACACACATGTATTTACACACACATGTGCATGTGTATATACACACATATAATAGCTCTTAGTATATATTACCTCTTAATTCTTCATATAAGCTTTACTTGGAAACTACTATTCTCTCCATTTTAAAGGAAGTTTTGACTTGGTGAGTCTTGGCACTTGGAAGGTGTTGGGAGACTTTTTAGGAATTCAAGACCATCCTTAGCTATTATGTGATTGAGGACAACCTAGCCCCTGTGAGTCCATGTCTTCAAACACCAGAAATAATTCCTCTGAGCCCCATACACTAGGAAATTCTTTCTCACCACTTCTTTAAAAACTTCACATGTGCTATGCTAAAGAATCAATAAATACTAAAAAATAAAAATAAACAAACAGACTTGGCTGGGCATGTAATTCTGTCAGCAGTAACACACTCCTCTGGCATAGGCGTCCCTGCTGAATTCAATCCAAGGCTGTCTACAAAAAAAGAAGATAAAGAGCCTAACATTTACACATATTAACAAACAAAATTTGAATCACCAATATCCGGTTTCTACTGTGGTCTTATGTTTTCACAGCCCCCTCCATTTGTCACTTACAGAACTGGAAATGGTGGTGCATGCTTGAGGTCTTACCTAACTTGGGAGGTGGACTGCCAAGAGTTCGAGGTCAATCTGTTCTACATAGTAAACCCCAGACAGGGCTCTTAAGTAAAACTCCATCTGCAAGAAAGATCTCCAATCTCCGAGATCTCTCTCTCTCTCTCTCTCTCTCTCTCTCTCTCTCTCTCTCTCTCT